GCCCTAGTAAATCCAGGAATCTCTCTGGGCTGTTGCTCCTATGCAGGATGAGCAAACCAGAAAGTTCAGCCCTTACACCCCAAGTTTTGCCTCTAGGTCCCTTCCAGTGTCCTTCCCTGTACCTGTCCTCACCTGTCATGCTGGTCTGCCTCCGTTTTCGGCCCTGAGAGGTGCCAGACCCACCAGGGGACACTTCAGGGTGCTCAGGGGTGTGAGGCAGGATGGTACAAGACAGCGACAGGTCCACGTGATCCTCCTGAGCTGTTCCCTGCAACAGGGCGGATGATGTGCCGGGCCGCTTGCTCCCTCCCAGGTCGTCCTGGCCCCCCAGGTAGAACTTGGGCAGGCCAAGGCCCCGCACACGCTCCCAGGCAAAGTCGCCCTCTAGGGGTGTCTCGGTGACAAAGTCGAAGTTCCAGCGCTCGCGGGCCTCCTGCACACAGCTGGCCATCACGGCATCACAGTCCCGGCGTAGCTGCTCACTGTCCACCGGGCCAAAGAGGCGGCGGCACGCCTTGCTGCCCCTTGGGATAGGACGGGTATCCCCAGACGGCTCTGGCATGGTACCTATGGCTGAGACACAGCAAAGGCCCCGGTCACTTGGGAACTGAGACCCTCCCTACCTGTGTAATCCCAGGGGAGATCTTCCTACTAGAACAGGAGATGAGAGGGTGTCTCTGATACTTTCCAGCTGTTTTCCCACCACTTCCTTCATGCAGGTCCCCCAAGCCTGCCCACCATCGACAGACACTAGCTGGAGGCACAGCTCACCCAGCCTGGCACCCCAAGGTCACTAGGGAATGGGCAGCTGAAAGCCAAGCTTATGTCAACAAAGGCAAGTTTAACTCGATCACAGGGATCAGGGTTCTGTTTACTACCAGGTATTATGAGCTCAGATCAATTTGTTTTCTACCTGGGGTGCTCTTCCCAGGTGTGAATGCCCCCAAGTACGTGTGAATTGCCAGAGTTCAGCAGTTTCCCAACCCCGGTTCTGGCCAAGAGGTGGACAGGCTGACTGCCGCTCCAGCCTCCTGAACCCCACCCCCAGAAGCCCATGTACTGAAAAGTCCAGTACCCTGGACTTTGGGTAAAAAACATGTAGGAGCTAGTTCAAAGTCTGCTGCTTACTACCTACATTTAGAAAGCTTCTAGTATCCTTGGGTTTGAGTCCTCATCCGTAAAAGGGGGCTGTATGAAAGTTTAAGGACATGGCTGCTGAAACAAGCCCACGCAATTGGCTGGTGAGTCCCTCCAGGGAAGGGAGAGGGGACAGGGTTGGGAAGCTCCTAAGAACAAGGGCTCCGGAGTCAGAATGCCTTCACTGGAATCCAGACGCTGCTCTGTGATGAGAGGCAAGTGGCTCCCCCCACCTGGGCTCTATTTTCCTCGTCTGTAAAATGGAGGCAGCAATAAGTGAATGTCTCAGAAGACAAATGTGAGAATAACTGAGTTCATGTAGGTAACGTGCTGGGAGCAGCATCTGGAACATAGAAGTATTTGGCAAGGAGAAGCACTGTTATTTCTCTCTGCCTTCAGTTCTGGCTGAGCCTCCTCCCCATAACTCCCCTGGGCCACCATCTCCTCAGACAGCAGCTGACAGGTGCTGTGGTCTGCGGGCCTTTCCCAAGGATGTCATCAGGCGGGCAGCCTGCGGGTGAGGAGGGGCTGGGCAGGGCAGGGCCAGGCAATGATTTCTCCCAGGCGGAGTCACATCCTGCCAGGCACATCAGGTGATTTGAAGTCTAGACAATCTCCAAGCCCCTGCCCTATGTTGCCTGCATCCAAAGAACGAGTTTTGCAGGCAAAGAAAATTAAAGGTGGCCGGTCTACCCGGTTCCTCGCCTCCTACAAGAAGAGGGGAAAACTGAGGGTGAGAGGGAAAACCGAGGGTGAGGCTGCCCATGAGGGAGGGCTAGCACCCATCTGCCACGCTCTGGCCTGGTTCCAAGGCTACTAAGTGACTGCACGATCTTGGCAGAGTCTGGGTTTTCTTGGGGACAAGCCCTGATCTGCAGACTCTGGGGGTGAAAGCTCTGCTAAGTGCCCCTGGGCAGGGAGAGGGCAGGAGGCCCTGGATGCACACCACACCCACTCCTCCCCACCCACCTCTAGTAATTAGTGGAGCCCACAACCACAAGCCTCAGCTGACAGGGAGGAGGTGCCCTCAAGTTTCAAGGACAGGAGTTCAAAGACACAGGACACTTGTCCCAAAATCACACCCAGGGGCGCTACGCCACAAAGAGGCTACGGGGTGCAGTGGGCAGAGCCCTCCGATAACCTTTGCCCAAGCTTCAGAACAAGGCTTGGGTTTATTTACATATTTTTATGTACCAGGCAGGAGCTATTCCAAGAGATTCACAAATACTAATTTTCCTAAGACGTGGGTATATGAATGCTTTTTACAGAGAGGTAGCAATGGCTCAGAGAAGTTAAGTAATTTGCCAAAGGTCACACAGTTCCCAAGCGATGCGGGCGGAATCTGAACCCATGCCTGTTTGCCCAGCATTCTGTGCTTGGTATTGAGCCCCACCCCCCTCTAACTTTGAGGTTTTCTTAACCAGAGAGGCTCATCAGAATCGCTTGGAAAGCTTTGTCAAAATATATAGATTATCAAACCTCCTACCCACCCCTGCCCCCACCCCCAACCTCCCCGGGTCAAGGTGATTCAAACGGAGGGAGACTGAAGCTGTGTTTGGCGACTCCACAGGGCTCCTGGGGTGCTGGCCAAGAGGGCGCTACCACAGGGTAACTGAAAAGGTCATTCTGGGGCTTAACCTTCCTACTGGCAAAGAAGAAGCTGGATACCTCCTGGCTTCTCCGAGATGAAGATGGTTCCAGAATCACCTTCTGCCAGCCCTTCCCTTCCAACTCTCCATCAAAATAGGCTCTGAAACCCATTGTCATAACTCCCAGCTCCGAAAACACATGCCCTTGTTTTACAAAAGTGTCCAAGAATAGCTTCCTTTGTTGGCCTTCTTGCCTTAGACTTCAACCATAGTTTAATTCGCAGCACAAAGTAAACGCTTTGTGCAGCCAACGGGGTACTCTGTTTAAGGGGAGGAGGCGGAGGCGGGAGGGGGATGGGAGAACGACCTCGCACCCGCCCAGGAGCAGCCGCGGGAAAGCTCCGCCGCTGAGCCGCGTCCCGCCGCCAGCCCAGTTTGCGAGCGCGCCGGGGCCGGGAGGGGGCGCTGGTCTCCAGGAAATCACGCGCCGGGTGGGAGGTAAGTGGGTAGGGCCTGGTGCCCAGCAGCTAGTTGTGATGAGTCAGTTTCCTGCAAAAGTCTCCCCGCCCGCCAAAACTTCGCTTCCATTGAGGTTGCACGTCACCGTCGGGTGGGGAAGGGGACAAGCGGGGGGATGGGGGTTGGTGGCCGAGACAGGGAACACGTACGTCACTGTGAGCCAACCAGGCTTCCGAAACTCCGCCACTATTGGGAAACCGCGCGCGCTCTCGTCAGCTGTTTCTTACGCACGCGCGCGCTCGCGGACACACACACAGGGATACACACACACACACACCGAGACGCACACAACCCGCACGCACAGGCGCACAGAAATCTGGTCCCTCCACCTTATTTCCACGCCCAAAGCACGGGATGAGTCAGATCCCTGGAAAATAAAAATAGACTGGAGTAACGAAAACAAAACCACTGGAAAGTCTTCCCCAAACGCCGCGACGTGGAGGGAGGTCGCAGTCCTAAAGTGCCGAGCGCAGCTCCAAGAGCCTGTTCCTCCGGAGAGGGGACGCAAGTGTTTCCCGACGCCTCCCGCGGATCGGAGGCAGTGACCCGAGTTGAGCGGCAGCGCCCAAAGACTAGCCCTCCTGCTCCGCTCAGCCCTGTCAGGGAATTCTGGGCTGGGTCCGGGCGCCGCGAACCCCATAGACGCAGCACCGCGGCAGCACCGCGCCGCCCGGAGTTCCACCCCTGTGAGAATACAATTCCTCCCGCCTCGCGCCCGGGTTTGAGGAGCCTCAGTTCCGGGCTCGGCTTCAGCCCAGGAGTCCAGAGCCCCGACTCTAGGGCAGCTGGGAGACTCCCCGCCGCGGCGGGAGAGGCGGGTCCGATCCCTGCGCTTCCTAAATTGACTGGCTGGCACAAGCCTGCCCGTAGCCGGGCTGAGGTCCGAGTGTCCGAAGGCGCGCCACGGGGTGGGGACCGGACACCCGGTCCTGATCTCCCGGTGTCCCGGCTTCCCTGGAACAGTGTGTGCCAGCCAAATAGGTCTCAGCGCTGGTTAAGGGAAAGAGACCTCAGAGGGGATGGGAAGGGGATTTCTGGGGACCCCAAGATCCTCCCGCCCGGGCGGGGTTCTGACCTAATCCAGCCCGTTCCCCGGGGTCCCACGGTCACCATGAGTCACCCCTAGCTGCCTTGAGGGACATGTCCTAACATGTTCCCAAGGGCCGGGGACACATCCCGCGCTGAACTTCGCGCCTGGCTCCGTGGTGGACACCACGGCGTCGGGTATTCAGACCTCAGATCCGAGCCGGGCAACACCCACAAGAGCCACCCATGAGAGGATCCCAGGTGAACCTGCCGGGTTGGAGCTCTGCGCCCCTCACCGCCCCCTCCGCCCCCTGGGGTTTCAACCCCACGCCCCGAGCAAGCCGCGCCTGTCTCACGCTCCCCGCCGTGAGAGCTCGCCGGGCTGCTGGCTGCCGGTGCACGCCTTCCCTCGCTCCAGCTGAGTTTTAGCCGAGGCAACTGGGGCAGGGGCTCCCTAGTATACACGAGCTCCCTCTCCCCGCCCGAGTCTCCGTCACACCCGGACCCCTGAGACACGCGCACTTGCGGTCTCCCGCGTGCGCAAAGCCGAGACCCACGCACTTCATCCACCTGTGGACACTGCGTGCGCAGCACAAACACGAGCGCGCGGGTCCACATCCCCGCTGACACACGACCCCGAGGACACACGCGGAATTTCGCGGACACTCTCGGCTCGGCACAGACCCGCCAACCCAGGATCCGCTCTTGCTTGCCAAGGTCCCCTCACCTCTTCGAAAGGGCTTGGTGTCTCCGGGAAAAACCGCGCCCGACTCTCGGTCTCCAAGCCGCCGACTAACCGCGGTTGGTGTCAGAGACCGAGTAATAAAGACGGGTGGCGCGACCCGCCCCGCCCCGCCCCGCCCACAGAGCCCAGGACCGCCCAATGGCTGCGCATTTTTTTTTCCGCGTTGCGGTACACTAGACCCGTCTTTGGAACTCCATGTCATCCTCGGGTTCTGGAGGAGGGCGCTTCCCTTCTCCCCATACCCCACGACTACTTTTGAGTGCTTGACATGTTTCCGCACGAATGAACCAAACGTTTACGCGCGCGCGCGCGCGCGCGCGCGCGCGAGCAGTGGGGGAGGGGAGGGGCGTTGTTTAGCGGGGATGTGTATTGCCACTCCCCGGGTGGGGAGTGGCCTAGTTCGAGTGAGACCCCTTTCTGGCTCACTCCAGACCAACTCTGAGCAAGGACTTATCCAAAGCTTCGGAGAAGATCCCTAGGGAGGATATTCATAAATGAAACTGTTACATTAAAATGATGCCCCTCACTTCGTAATTCCCAACAAAACCCCATGCTACCACCACTATTCCCAAGGACCCCTTACTAGACCACCTCTTCCCAAGCACACCCCAACAAAGAATCATGGAGGCCAGCAGGGATTCAGTCCCCTTTATTTCATAGAGGAGCAAACTGAGGCCCTCAGAATTACAGGGGTGTACAGCTGTTACTGCTTCAGGGAAGGAAGAATTGGAGACTGTCTCAGGACCGAATGGTCTCCAGGGACAATGGAGGAAATGGGATGTTGAACTAAGCTCCTCAAGCTTTCTTCCTCGCTCCATACCAACCCGCCCCCCCCCCACCTCAAAAGAAGAAATCTCTGTATCTCTGTGACTGCAGGTCTGATGGCTAGGGAGGTGGCCTAGGCCAGTGAGTTATCCCCTGGATCCTCCTGCCACGGCCCACTGTGGCCCACACAGCCCACCCACTCAGGTCACACAGCCACTGACTGGTAACTGTTGGGACATGGGTCTTCTGCCTCCCGCCCCAGCTCTGTGTTGCCCTCTCTATTTCAGTGGCTCTAGAATGAAGGTCACATCCTGCAGCCCTCATTTCCAAACAACATATTGAGATGACATTGACAAAGACAATTCCAGAATGCCCCATTGGTGCTTCTGACCAATCCAGAAGCAGGTGAGGTACCCATCCGCTCTTGCCCATGTCCATAATCCTAGCTCCTCTTGCACCCCATCTTTGCCTCCTTCCTTCAGCTAAAACACTTGCATTTCTGCTATTTAAAAAGTTACAGAGAACAGAGAGTTCTTTTGAACAGAAATCCTGCTAAAAAAAAAACAGAATTCAGCTTGGAGCAGCTACACTTACTGACATCTAATGTCTGGAAATCTCTGCCCGGACATGCCCAGTCTTCTTCCTCTAAGGCAGCTGACCTGGGGAAGAAGGACTTCCTCCTCTACCACAGGATGGGGAGTTGGTGGGGAGGGGTGGGCGGGGAGGGGGGGCACAGTCCCTCTTGTCTGCCTGGATGTTGGAGTCATGCCAGGATTGGAACTGGGCCTCAGGAGAGCCTCTGAAAGGCTCAACCCCCCCCCATGTCCCCAGCTCCTTTCTCTACTCCCCCACCCCTGCCACCCAAAGGCAGTTGGTTGTCAGATGTCCAGCAGAGGACAGGCGATCCTCCTCAGCAGGATCCCCTTGGAGTTCAGGCTTTTCCAATAGACTTGGCATTGTCTGTCTGTTGACTTGGGGGAAAACTTTTTTTTAATGAAGGCTTGTATTGAATTATTTAAGTTTTGTGGTACTGAGCTTCACAATGAAATAATTCTTTTGTTGTTGTTGGGCAGTGAGGGTTTGTTTATTTTTTTTTAATGTTTTGTTTTAAGAAAAACACCCTTTAGCTCGTCACCATCACAAGAGAATTCAATACATATTTGTTAAGCACCTACTGAGTATCTGGAACTACTCAATACTTTGAAAAATAATTTTCCCAAATATACATGTAGCCAGACAAGCTCTAAAGAGGTCGAAGGAGCAGGTTGTTAGAAATCGCAGGCAAGATCTAACCACAAACACACACACACACACACATGCATGCACATAATAGATCCTTGGTCAGTCCCAAGGAATCTGCTGCTAACCTACATACTATGTTCAGAGAAATTCAGACCAAGTTCTCCCCCAGATCTGTGGGGGCTCCTGTCACCTACAAACCCCTTTTTGCCCCCAAAACAGATAGCAATAAGGACAAACCAGTTACCAGCCTCCTCTTCTGTGCCTGCAGTCAACATGCAGGGGCATGTTCCTGAGAGGCCAGAGGAACAGTCAAGGCTGACAAACCGCTTGTTAACTGGACCAGCTCTCTGTAGCAGTGGTTTAGGGATGGACGGAGATGCAGCCAGAGGGTAACAGAATCACATCAGCCCCTACCCAGGAGGGAAATGATGACAGAAAGGAAAGATGGAAAGTCCAAGCCTGAAGAAGGAGGATGTGAGGAAGGCTCACATCCTGTAAGGGCTACCTAGCCCTGCAAACAGTAACCAAGTTACTATATCCCTGTATGTGGTAACCAAGTTACCATATCCCTGTATGTGCTAAATAAGAGTTAGTGCTGTAAGTGATAACCACAGAGTTAAGGAAGTTCTGGGAGCAATATCACATATTCTCAGAAAAAGCCCTGGGAGTCCCAAATAGAGGCAGTCCACTTTCAGAGAAATTCACCTCCACTCCAACTTTTTGGAATCCCAAGAAGTAAGATTCCAGTGAAAAGGCAGAACAGAAATATAATTATATTGCTGAGCAGTCCAGCTTCCTTTTTTTTATAAGAAGAATGAGACAACCCCCCCCACACACACAAATTTCACCTGCTGAGGGCTTTACCTAGTCATCACAAGGATCATGGCAGTGAGATAGAAAAATTAATGACAAAATTTATGTCACAAAAACAATTTCAGCCTCCCAAAGTTGGAAACTTCACCTTGCTCAGGCCTGAAATTTCACCATTAGAATTTCATTCTTTTGGCCTTAATTCTGTTCTTCTTTAAATAAAAGCATGTAGGCCAAGTGCTCAGTATAGTGCTTGGCAGATAAAAATCTCACTCCTACATATTAATAATTTTTATTGCCTTACAAATACACCCAGGAGAGGCATCCCTTGGGATTGAGTATTCATTTTTACTTTAGTGAGTGTCTTAGATAAGTTTCTGAAAGTAGACTCTGGAATAGAGAGTTGCTTTCTAGTGGAGGTTTCTAGTGGAGTACATTTGTAAAGCAACTCTTCTTTGGGCAGGAAGAGAAGCTGGGCTAGGACAGAAGCTGGTGGTATGATGGAGGCCTCAGCTGTTCCCACAAAGAGTTCTGGAGCTGGAATCATTCTATGGACTTCCCTGAATTGAAGCGAGCAGACTGGCCCGTTAATACCCCTGCTTTGACTAGTGATGTGGATGTTGACTAGTGATATGGATGTGACTGCTCCTGCAAGCAGGCACAGGACTTCTTTTATCTGGGGCTGATTCATCAGGATATATTCAGCTGTATCAGGAACCAACACAACCTGATAAGTGACAGCCCATGTCCTGAGAACAAGTGACCGGGCCCTTTAGGGGATCTGGGTGGTACAGCAGTGGGTGTGAGTTGATCAGATCATTTAAGAACTAGAAGGTGGCAAGGAAATTCTCTAAACACAGGCCACCTGAGGAGTGGGGGTCTCTGTGCCTGAGCAAATGTTGTTCCTTCTCCCAGGAATGAGGCCTCCTGACACAGCTATTCTACCTGTTGAACTCCTATTAATTCTTCAGGACCCAACCTACATGAGCCCTTGGAGTGATTCCTTCTAGGGGGCTCCCTGAGGCTCCCAGAGCTCCTGTTGAGAAATCCACTCCACTGTATTTCACTGCCCTGCTAGTTTTAAGCACCTGCTGCATCCTCTGAGCTGGGAATCTGAAGGGATGAGTCCATATTTTATTCATCTTTGTACCTTCAAGAGCTAGCAGCTTCAGTCAGAGTTCAGTGAATATTTATGGAAGCACCATTTTTAGCCTACATTCTGCAGCTAGACTTCAGTGTTGCTGCTTCTGAGTCCTCTCTTTTATTTATTCATACACTTATTCACCCATTCATTCATTTAAGAAAATAATATAATCAATAATCAGTGCTAAACCCAAGAACTGGAATATTACAGATCACTGAAACTTTCCAGTGAGTTCCTTCCCCCCCCCCATCTTAGTGTAAACACTATCTCAAATTTTATTTTAAATTTTCTTTGTTTTAAATAGGTTAATCACATGTGGTCATTTATTTTTCTATGTGCTCTCTTACATGTCTCCACCCTCTTGCTGTTTAAATAGGATCATAGGACTAGTTCCAGTCAATAAAATGTGAACATCAGTGACCTTTATTTCTAGCCTGTCTCATATCCCAGTTGATGCCACCTCAACTTGGAGCCTTGGTTAGCCTGGTTCCTGAGTGACTATGTGGAGCAGAACACTCCGCCAACTTGTGTGGGATATGTATGTGAGAAAGAGGTAACCCTTTGTTGTGTGAAGTCATTGAAATGTGGAGTGGCTTTATCTCCACATTTATCGATGTGGCTGTGGGTGGCTGTGGTTTATGGAAGTCTCTGGCACCCAATGAAATATACCTCTGGGTAGTCACATTCTTTTGTAGTTGCCTCCCTTGAATATATCTGACTTGTAAGTCTTTTAGTCAATCGAATGGAGCAGAGGTAATCTCGTGCCCTCTTAGACCTACCCCATAAAAAGATCTAGCAACTTCTGGTTTTGTGTTTGATGACTCTGAGACCACCATGCTGTGAGAAGTCAGGTGAAGAGGTCCAGCAAGATAACTGACAACCTCTACCCCACAGCTCCTTGGATCCTCTACCTGCAGGAATGAAACCCCAGGAGTGCAAGTGGGACTATATTGAAAGTTGATCTCTCAGCCTCAGTTGAACTGTCCAGTGAACCCCTGCCTAAATTGTAGAATTGCGAGCAAATAAATGATTGTGTTCACTCTGTGTTTTAACTTAGTTTGCTATGTGTCAGGCATAATCAAAAGAACATTCAA